AAGTAGTTTAAAGCATGCAGGATGACCAAGGTAGATGGGGGATATTTGCAGGTTAAATGTAAATACTTTGCAGTTATTACATTTATCATTTATGTACGTGTGTGTTTGTTGTGTGTGTGTGTGTATATGCATGTGTGCGCATGTGTGTGTGTACAAGTGCATGTGCATATGTGAACAGTGAGTGTCATGACATGCATACATGTGTATGAAGATCAGAGAACAACTTTCAGGACTTGGTGTTCTGCTTCCAGCCTGTGGGTCTCTGTAATCAAACTCAGATCCTTGGTCTTGACAAGTGCTCTTATCCTTGGAACCATCTTGCCAGTCCATTTTGCAATTTTTTTATAAGGGACTTACAGACCGCCAATTTTGGTCCTTCACCTAATCTCCAGTAGGCAACTACATTCAATATCCAACTGTGGTTACCTATGGCTCATTTGCTCAATATTAGATTATCTACACTTTAATTTTACTCCCTATTAATAAACCATGCCAGTAAGTGATCGTCTGGTTTCCTCCATGCTACTGCTGTAGCAGTGTCCTGTTTGAGTCAGATAGTAGTTTGTAGGGTTCCTGCAAATAAATCTAACATTTTCATCCTGGGCATATCCCTTCTCTTAGCAAAGGGTGGGGCCAAGAGAGTGACTGACTCAGGGAAGCTCATCAGGAGGAGGACAAGGGGATCAAGTCTCAGTCCGGGGGACAGAGCAACATGACATTTTCATCCAAGAAAATCTCTTGCTGCCTCTAACTTGCTTGCAGGTCCTTGGAATTCTTTAAGGAAAAACTCACTCCCCACCCCCACCCCCTTCGATCTGATACCCAGCTCACACTTAAAGCTCTGGATCTTGTTTCTTGTCATTTGAATGTAAATGTAAACTTCTTAGGCAGCAGGAAAACCCAGATATCTCATTATAAGCATGCATTGAATTTCTCTAGATTCTAAATTACTAAACAAGATTGCTTAACAACTTTGCCCCAAGGCTAGTTGGAGTGAACCAAGAACAAAAGCTAAGATTTCTTTCTGAGAAAAGCAACTAACTTCATAGCTAGGCTCACTGTGTCTTAAAGGAGGGTGCCCCAACACTCTGAGTTGGTACCAAGGTTGCTCCTGTATCCTCCTGGCAGGAATGAACAGACTTTTAAAAGACACTTTTTAGTTACCTCTTACCTTCGATGTAAATGGAAACATCATGTGAAGCCCCGCCCCCGAAGACTGATGTGGAGGGTAAAGAGCAGAGTGACATTCACTCCTTTGTTCCTCTTCCTAATATGGCCACGTTGGATAAATCCCCTTTTTCTGCTTTTGGCTTTTTGCTTATTGAGTATGAGTGTCCAGTCCACCTTGTTAGGGCTGTCAGGGCCCAGGCTCTGACTCTCCGAACTCCTGAACTTCCTTGGGAACCTCCAGGTCATAGTGCCTGGCAAGCTGTGCCAGGCCAGGAGCCTTGATTGTACACCTTCAAGAATAGCACATTTGGTTCTTGCTTCCGGCTTCTTCCCATCCTCCCCTAAGACCTCACCACCCTCTCTTCTCTCTGTGCACTTCATCTTAGTCATTGTTACTCTGGCCGGGTACGGTGTAATCCCAGCACTTGGGAAGAAGGAAGCGTGTGACGTCAGCGTGGGCTACATAATGCACTCAAGGCCACTCCAGGCTACCCAACAAGACCCTGTCCCAGAAAACAAACTGACAGGGCTGTGCAGATATCTCCATCAGTAAGGTACTTGCTGGGCATCCACGAGGACCTGAGTTTATCCTCACAACCCATATGCAAAGCCAAGCACGGCAGTGCACACTTGTAACACCAGCGCTGGAGAGGTAGAGACCGGCAGGTCCTTGCTGGGGCTTGCTGGCTGGCCAACCTTAATGAAGCAGGTCAGCGGGAAAGACACCCTGTCTCAAAAAAAGAACAAGGCGGATGGTGTCCTGAGGAATAGCACTCAAGGTGGACCTCTGGCCTCCACATGAACCCACACACACACACACAGTCACATACACTCATAAACATGAACACAAGAAAAGAAAAGAACAGCCAAGAAAACAGTAAATATTTGCTCTGGGTATAGCTTTAGAAGAAATGAATCCTTTCTGGGTCTCTTTGTTTTCCCAGTCCCTGTAGATACACCTACAATGCAATCCCTACACGTAAGGCTCTGGGAAAATTGAAGAGAGGGCAAAAAGATTGTAGGAGCCAGAGGAAAGCTGCGGCGGATAGTGTCTTCTAAACACGGTGGGGCAGCCGCATCATGAAGTCTCGGCAGTGTGGTCGCCCAGACGAGGCTTGCACAATGCAGCACCAGATGACAGGCCAGGTGGGTGAGGGATGTTTCACAAAGCCCCACACCTAACAACTGGCGGCTGCCAAGAGAGGAAGATCAGGTTTTTTCAAGAATGAGTTCCCTGATGTTCCCAAGTGGTCAGATCTAAACATATGTATACACAAGCAACATTAAATGGACTCAATAGGATGGATGGATGGATAGATGACAGATAGACAGATGATAGACAGATAATAGATAAATAGATAGATGATAGAAAATAGGTTTATAGATTTATAGATGTATAAAACAATATTAATTTATGAAGAGGTTATGAGTTTAAAAAGGGAATAGCATGGGAGGACTTGTAGAGGGGAAGGAATGAGAAATGATCTAAATACAGTATTCATGTATGAAATTACCAAAATAAAATTTTTAATTAAAAAATTTATAAATTCAAAATATCACTTCCTATTTATAAATTCTGTTGTAAGTAATCCATATTTTATCATATTTACTCATAATAATGTATGTTCATAACCATCCTGGAACTGGGGAGAGATTATTATAAAGTATCCTAAATAGTTTGGAGACATTTAGGCTTTGGAAGATGAGACCTTATTGGTTGTAGTATTAAGGCAACTCCACGTAGTTAAAAGAGAGGTTTATTTTGTGGGGTAACTTACAAGTAAAGGGGTAGGTTACAGGGTCTGGGAAAGGTGTAGCACAGACCAGCGGTGTTCTCTGGAGAACTCTGCTTAATCTACCTCCAGCGTCCATGATACAGGAACCAAGAGAGCCAGCACATCTGGATCTCGGGTCTTAAAGGCTCCTGTCTTGGCCCTGCCTTATAGGCATGACAGTTACCAGAGGCTCAATGGGGGTAGTACTTCCAGGTCAAAGCTGGAACAGCTACCCACTACAGGACCTCTTTAATGTGCTCCCACTCTTTCGGTTAAGAAATTGCATCTTATTTTTAACCCTGTAGCTGAAACTCAGTGACAATTTTTATTTCCCACTATTATTCTAAGATCATGCATATGACTTTTTTATAATAGTTTTTGTTTTTTTGAGACAGGGTTATACTGGCTGTCCTAGAGCTCGCTATGTAGGACAGATGGCCTCAAATTCACAGAGAATGCTTGCCTCTGCCTCTTGAGTGCTGGAATTAAAGGTGTTCACCTGCCATGCTTGGCTTTAAGTAATAATTTTTAAATACTGCCATTTCTAGTCAATAAAATCAATGAATTTGCCCTCATTTATCCTCATTGGTGTTTTCTCTATCCTTAGGTATGAGGTCTGTAGACAGGAACTTGTCTGTTTCAATGGCGTCTAACCTGTGGGCTAGAAGGACTAGTCTGCATATGTGGACATGTAGCAACACTGGCCTAGGAGGAAGAGAACAGAGGCTGATGCCAGGTGTTATTCTAAGGGCTATAGATGGAACCAATTGATTCATTCTTCATGAGGTCTTATCAGTAACCCCACTTTTCAGGTCAGGACAGTAAATGATTTGTAATAGTCACAAAGCTTGGAAGTAGCACCTTGGTCTCTTTATTTAATCATTTCTGCAACTGACCAGCTTCCTCAAATAAGGCTCGTATTCTCTACAGATGCAGCTTCTCAAAATTAAATAACAATAAGGCAAAAAATGAGAACTAAATCCTTCGTAATAACTATCAGGACTTTCCAATCACCATGTTAGCCTTTTGGCCAATGGATTTCATAACATGGAGAACATTTTTAATTCTCCTATGGAGTTAGAAATGCCAAAAATGCCAGGCAGTGCTGGAGCAGGCCTTTAATCCCAGCACTCCGTAGGCAGAGGCTGGAGACCTTTGAGTTTGAGGCCAGCCTGGTGTATAGAACAAGTCCCAGGACAGCCAGGGCTACACAGAGAAATTCTGTCTTGAAAAACAAAAGAGAAAAAAATGCCAAAAGTACCTGTAATCTATGGTTATGAACAAATCAACTTGAAAGTGAGTCTCACTCTGAGTAAAGAACTGAAATAAAAATTAGCCATAATCCCATCACTCAAAAATCCCATCACTGTTCAACACATTAGTGTATTTCCTTCTGTTTTCTTTCCTACAAAAAAAAAAAAAAACATAGCCGGGTGGTGGTGGCACACGCCTTTAATCTCAGCATAGGTAGGCAGATCTCTAGATCTCTGTGAGTTTGAGGCCAGCCTGGGCTACAGAGTGAGTTCCAGGAAAGGTGCCAAAGCTACACAGAGAAACCCTGTCTCGAAAGAAAAAAAAAAAAACATAATAAATAGGCTCTGTTTGAAAAGTTTTTATTTATTTAGACTACTTCTTTAAGAAATTTGTTCCTTCGTTCCTGGCAGGGAGGAGGAGGAGGAATTCTATTGTCTCTCCATTGTCCTACAATGTACTCACAATCCTTCCAATGTAGTCAAGCCATTGACAGAAAAATTAAGTGAAGCATTATCCACCCTCCTGTTTCTTTTCTTAATTGGAAGACATTCTCTAGTTAAAACTATAGGTTAACAATGCCCTGGTTCATTAGCATCTGTCCTCTGATTTCCAAGGACAGCTCTTCTCAGCCGTTATCTTCCCAAAGCGTCTGCTGTGAGGACGGTGGTTCTCAGACTCTAAGCCCTGCTCTGCATCTCTGTTCGCAGGCTGGGGTTGGGCAGTCATTTAATGATCAACAGAGCGTCTGCCTCTACCACTAGAATAACCAGGTCAATGTTTAACTGCATTCTTTAGTTCTGGAATGGCAAAGTAGAAGTTGAAGGGAAGTCTCCATGGAAACCGGCCTCCCAGGAAGTGGCCAGAGAAGTTAGTGTCGGGGGACAGAACTGGAAAGATGTCATGAAGGAAACACCTGTTTTGGTAAGCTGGGGTAAACTGAAACTACTGAACTAAATCACACTCCATAAAGGCCCCCCACGACCCCCCTCCATCATGATTTTTTTCTGAATATCTTCAAGGAAAATGGGCCTGGGCCGCTCCAAGCCTCACCCTCGGGTGATCAAAGTCACACCTTTACAAAGCCAAGAAGCAGAGATTCCCTCAGCTGGCCCTGTGTTCTATGCATTAAATCGGAACCTAGAAGAAAAGAGCTCATACCCATTCTCGAGACTGCAGGGTCAAAAGCAAGCTCTGGAAGGACTGCTACCACCTCTTCGAGAAACCTGGTATGGAAGACATCCTGCAGGTATACCACGAGCGAACATGAGACATGCATGCCTAGGACTCAGGAGAGCTGCGGCACATTTACCTGTCTCCGTGATCTCTGAAAGCTTAGATGATTGAGATGCAGGAGAATGTTTTTCAGTGAGGACTGACTGACTGTCTGCTGAGTGACTTCCAGTGTGTTCGAATGCTTGTGTCAATTCCAGATTTAAAAAAAAAAAAAAAAAAAAAAAAAAACTTTTAAATAAGAAGGAAAGCAGTCTGGTCTCAGCTTAGTCTGGAGTGATTTCAATGTGGCCTCCATTAGGCCACTGAGATCACACAGATGTGACAGACGGTGGCAACTGTGCTCCACTTGGGTTCTGAATTGAAGTCATTATCTCCAGAGAGACTGAATGCATCAGGCTTTGTAGTTTTGAGAGCAGCACGTTAGGAGTAAACCTCTCCCGTGTGAATTTTGAAACCAGCCCAAACAAAATCAATTTACCACATGAGGGAGAGTAGATGAGTCACCTTCCTAACCCCATGTTCTTCAGGATTGTCACAGAATTAAGGGAATTTTTCCCATGGGGGTGGGGGGGATGGGGGAGAGCTGTGAGCTGAAATGGCTGCAGGTTGCAGGTTGTTCGTGGATATTTTTTATGACATGTAAAATGTTTTCTGATGACAATCGTGATAACTAAACAGATGTGCTAACTTGGGATGAAAAAATTCATACTGATGTGTGTCATCTGGCACACATTCCATATATTTGAATCAGCTTTTCTCTTCTTCACATTCCGCATCAGTAACAAAACTGGGTTGTCCTTCCCAGATGACTCTGTCTCAGATGACCCTGTATGTCTTTAGCTGCCAGATCTTCTTGGGGAGATTTTCATGGTTACTTTCTGTACAGGTAAAATATTGAGTAGTGTTGACTAATACGGCTTTTTTAATGTTCTTCACTATGAATGATAATTTCCTTCTTAATGACATTGATTCCCCTTTTTTGGTTGCTTTGGTTTTTTGTCTGCTGTCAGTGTCTCACTGCATAACCCTGGGTTGGCCTTGAACTTTCCATGTAGCCTAGACTGGCTTTGAACTCACAGAGTCCTGCCTGCCTTTGCCTCACAAGTGCTAGGATTAAAGGCATGCAGTTTTATCCTCTTCTGAGTTCTAAGGTTTTGGTAACTAGGTGGCAAATGCTGATTTGGGTACTTTGGAGTCCCAACTGAAAAAATGATACTTGAAAGACAAAAGTCACATTCGTTATAAATAACAAGGGATGAAAAACATTCTCTATAAATACTGACTGTACCAAAAGCATTCTGAGAGCTGGTTTTAGGGGCCCATGTTCTAGCCCCAGCCCCACTAAACATATCACACAACCTTAGACAAGTTACTTCTCAGTTTTGTTTGCCTATGTTCAGAAGTAGAAGTCAGTGTCTGGGACGGCCTTTGCCTTATGGGGCAGTCCAACTAAAAACAGGATGATATCACTCACGTCATATAAAGGTGAGGAGTACTGAAGTTTCTAGGAGGAAAAAATGCTTTAAACAATTTAGATTTTAAAACCCAATTGATGGTGGTAGAGTTTCTGTCCTGCTCAATGTATGCCATAATCTGAAAGAAAGAAAAACAAAAAGTCACAGAGTCCATTCTCTTCAAAGCTGGAGACGGCAAAGCTTCACAGAGGTCACTCAGATGTCTTAAGAAAACTTAAGCACAAGTGTCAGAATGTGTTTTGACTGTTCTAAGAGAAGGCCAAGGACACCGTGCAGTTTGCTCCCGGCAGCACTCTTGAGTGGCGCAGTGAATCAAGCCAAGCGCAGCGTGTGTGGGGAGGGGCTCACCATCTGATTCTCAGCAGAGCAACTCTGTAGCCCTGGCTTGTTGTATAGAGAAGGAAGAGTGCCATGTTGCATCCCACAGCAAACTGGGGACTGCCCCCTGTTAATTTCCTATTTACCTGAAAAGATAATGTATTTTCATTTCTTATTTTTTTATTTCCTTTATTTTGGGGGAGATTTCATGGTATTTAACTAGTGGGCTGAGACAGAGCTCAAAGGTAGAGCTGAGTCTAGTGTAGGTGAAACCCTGGGTATTTGATCTCCGGTACAGGAAGTGTGGGGGAGTCATAAGACTAATCAGCAGGTTTCTGTTTTCTTTTTTTTTTTT